AACACACACACACACACACACACACATACCATTGGCTGAAATAATTACAAAATGCTTAGAATAAATTGTCTTTGACAGTGACTGGCCCTGGGGGAGGGTAGCACGTTACACTGCGAATTTCTTCCCCACTGTCTTCTCCAGTGGTGCATCCACTGTCTGAGGGGAATTTCCCAGCAAGCCTCTCCCACTCCTTTGATTCCCTGGCAGCCTTTTTTCGGGGATTGAGTGTGTCTGAGTTCAGCCTTGATAAGTGACACAGAGGGAAAGATTTCAGCTGCCCATGGCTCTCGCAGGAAAAGGGATCTTTTTCTGTCTGGTGTGGGCTTGTGGTGGGCGTTCAGAGGAGCAGATTAAGCCCCAGGTGCAGCCCGTGTCACTGCCTGCTTTTCCCTCTCTGCTCAGTCCTGAACCAAGTATGAGACCAGACACGTTCGGTCCGCCCTTCCCCGATGGGCTGACGGCAGTGGGAACCCTGATCTGAAGCCCTTGTTTGACTCCAGGCCAAGCGTTTCAAACAGGCCTTTCATAGCTGGGAAAACCCCTGCTAGACCTGCGGGACCCGCCACACAACCACACACGGCTCAGCTCGTGTCAACAGAACTGATAACCAAATTGGGCTTCTTGGCTTCCTGGCCCCGGCAGCCTTGCCAAGCCGCTACCCTCCGAGTCCCAATTAACACGCGGCTGCCCTCGATCCATGAGGTGGGACCTGAGGGTTTGTTTACCACATAGTTAACAGGCAAACACAACTTAATCACAAGGAAAACAGCTTTTATGAGAATCATCTTGAAGTCCTTCTACGGCCCTAGTAAACCATCCTAGGAAGCCAAAACCTAGAGTTCCCTCCGATTTCGTTACTGTCGGAGGAGAGGCCGGTACGGTCTTGCTTTTTGACCAGGCGAAGCGATGTCTCGCCCCATTCTGAAGGCCTCTCCAGGTGACCACCCTCCAGGATCCTCTGTCCTGGGCTGCACTTTGGGAAGAGAGACAAGGCTGGGGAAAAAAAAAACAAAACACAACATGTCTTTTAATCAGGGCCCACCGAGCACCAGGCAGTTTTCACACACTCTCTCCCATCCTCATTCCATCACTGTGCGCAGGACAGTGACCTCCTTTCACAGAGAAAACCAAGGCTCTCGAGGTAAGTCACTTCTGCAGATTACCTAGTTTAAGTCCAACACTGGGATCTGAACTCAGGTCAATAGGACTCCAAACCCCATTTCTTTCCACACTGCCTTATTTTCTATTGGAAGATCTGGACTCTGCTTTGGACCCACAGGATGCTAGGCAAATCTCCCAACAGCACAGCATCTATTTCTTTATCAGTAAACTTTTTTTTTTACAGAATCAGATTTGATAATATAAACTTGTAAAGCATTATGCCAACAAACCCTGGAGTATTACATCAAAGAAAGGAGCACGCCAGGGCTGGGCAGTGGCCGTTCTGAGCTATTATTTATTACTGCAAAGCTTGTTGGTTAAAAATGAAGAATGGAGTCACGTGGATGTAGTATAAAGCACAGAAAAATAGTCAATAATGTCATGATAACTTCACTGCTGACAGATGCTACCTGTTCTTATCTTGGTGATCATTTTGTAATGTACAGAAATCATTAAAGCACCATGTTGTATACTTGAACCTAAACACTGTGTGTCCATTATAATTCAATTGAAAAAAAGAGTGGATGTTTTATTTGAAATTCTGATTTTTTAAAATTAGGGAGCATTTCATGAAACGTCGAGAACATGTTTTAAGACGTAGGCTACTTATGAATGGAAAGAACGGCTGTCTTTTGGATGTGTAATCTATTCCATGGGAGCTCAGACTTGAGTGTTCAAAAGAATCAGGTCATGCTGCTGGGGTGGGGAGGGTTTGCAGAATTCTTAGTCTCACCCAGCATCCATTCCTCTCTTTCTCTTTTCAAGTAGGACCTAAATTTTTTTTCACTTAGCCTCTCATTTCTAACTGACCCCATCCTTAGGTCCAAATACAAAGGTAATGTGAAGAGAGGTCTGCTGGGGTTTCTGGGAAAGTTCTTCCGGGAAAGTTGGGATTTTAGCCCAGATTGGAAGAATCCATCATCCCCTAAACTGTGAGATCTGTACCTACTACAGGTGTGCACATAAGTTTAAATCATCTTCCCATGTGGATAATTTTTTCCTCTCCTTTTCATGTATATGAAAAGAATTGTATTAATACTGTTGTTTTTT